CATCCCGCCCGCCCGCCCGCCGGGGGAGGAGTGTGTGTGTGTGTGTGTGTGTGTGTGTCAGTGTGTCTGTGTGTGTGTCTCTCAGTGTGTCTCTGTGTTTGTGTCTGTGTGTGTCTGTGTGTGTCTGTGACTGTGTGTGTGTCTGTCTCTGTGTGTGTGTCTCAGTGTGTCTGTGTGTTTGTGTCTGTGTGTGTGTGTCTGTGTGCATGTGTGTCTGTCTGTCTCTGTGTGCATGTGTGTCTGTGTGTGTCTGTGTGCGTGTGTCTGTGTGTGTCTCTGTGTGTGTGTCTCTGTGTGTGTGCGTATGTGTGTGTCTGTGTCGGTGTGTCTGTTTCTGTGTGTGTGTGTCTCTGTGTGTGTGTGTCTCTGTGTGTGTGTCTCTATGTGTGTGTGTATGTGTGTGTCTGTGTCTGTGTGTCTGTCTCTGTGTGTGTGTCTCTCAGTGTGTCTGTATGTGTGTGTCTGTGTGTGTGTGTGTGTGTCCAGGGTTTTCATCAGATTTTCAGGGTGTTTCTGAACCCTCAAAAGATAAGAATCCTTGCTCCAGCCACATCCGTGTCCTGTACACGTGCCAAACGCACACCAACTATGGCCACCCCAACTCCCGCGTCTCAGGGTCGGCCTGCTTGTTCCCTGGGGGCACAGCCAAGGAAAACCCAGCCTTCTCCGAGTGTGCGCGGTGGGGCTGGTTGTGATCTCTGTGGCCTGAAGTGTCTACTCCCTCTTTCAATGGATCTGTGGGGGTGGGGGTGGGGTGATCACACTTACCGCACTCTCCAACTGTTGACACTTTTTCTAAGTAGGTGCCCTGAGAGGCTTGAAAAGGTTTGTGTCCCATTACCCACCTACACTGCCTGCAGTACACTATGAATTAAGATTTTTTAAAAAATACATAAATCTAGTTATTACCCTATGACTAGCACATTGTATTAGGTTCAGTTTTTTGTGTTAATGTTTGTTACACTTAAGAAGTGCCACATGTGTGTAACCTCTCTTTAGCATTTTTTCAGAACTTTTTTTCCCTTAACATACCAGAAACCTCAAAAACTGGAAGTGGCTTATGCCTCTCTTGATCCCTGAGCAGCCCTGGTTTCCGTAGGTACTGGCACCCAGTTAGCTGGGTTCCCATAAACTCTTTGTCCTCTGGATTATGCATCCCAAGTCCTTTCAACAGTCTCTCATTTTAGTTGCTGTGGGATATAATCCTCCTAACTCTCTGATTTTAGTTAAACCAGACTAGCATTCCTCCCACCTTGCTATGGTCACTGCAGTGGAGACGATCAGCAGTCACACAAGCCAGCCTGTTATGCAGCACGCCTGGGCCAATTCCATTCTCTCTCCTCTCCTTTGATCCTCCTGTAGTCCCCAGGTAAACATTAGAGTGATGTCCTACCAATGACAAAATAGGCCCAGCAAGTGGAGTAACTTTTCCAAGGTCACAGACTATTTTTTCATAGTTCTGAGCAGTTTACTGCAAGCTTTAATCAGAATCATTGAAAATCCTTTAAAATGCCCTCATTGCTGGGGTAATAGCTGGGTGCCTGAAATGGGAATCTGAAACTAGGGAAGGAAAACCAGCATTTGCCCACTGCCCGGTGTTTCCTGCCGGCTTACAGTGTGCCAGGCCTTGGTGTACATTATGCCCTTGAGTTTCACAGTAGCCCATGAGCTAGGAACCACTGGCATTTGTGGTTTTACAGAAAAGGGAATTGAGACTTAGGGCCATTAAGTTAGGGAGGTGGTACAACGTAGTAGCTAAGAGAATGGCAACAGGAATTCCCAACCCACTTAGTGGCTTCTAGGTGAGGGGCCTTGGGCAAGTTAGTGAACCCTTTCAGCTGCAGTTTCCTCTTCTATGAAATCGTGTTAGTAACTGTACTCACTTCGAGGGACTTTTCAGTCCAGGGCCTTAGGGTTTCCCCCCTGCCTTAAGGTTTTCCCACTGCTTGTGGGCCATTTCTGATCTGCAGGGCTATCCTACACCAAGGCCAGGGGTGTCCCTGAGTGCCTCCTGGGGCAAAGGCTCATCAGGGAGGCTCTGGGATGTGGCCTAGTCTTCAGGGCAAAGTGGCGCACCCTGGTCAGGCCCAGAAGTTTTCTGGAAACTTTCTTCCACATGTAGATGGCAGGGGGAAGTGGGAGAGGGGCCCTGGCTCCACCCCACAGCAATGTCCAAACAGGGCCATTTCCTTCCTTTCACTAATTCCACCCCTGAAGCTAAACTGGAAGAGGATTGGCCTCTCCAAGTCCCTGACTTCCTCCATCCCTGACCTCTGTTCCTGCCAGTCAGCTGTTATTCACTCATTCAGTCAGTGAACGTTATTGAGCTCCTCCTGTATACCCAGTACTGTGCAAGGTACAATACTCGAACATGACCAAGAGATAAGTATAATAATAATAGCTGACACTTTTTGAGTCAGTGTTCTGAACAATTTACATGAATGAAGTCATTTAATTCTCACACATGCCTGAAGTAGGTACTGATATTATTCTCATTTTATAGATGGGGAGACAGAGGCAATTAAGAAACTTGCTCTGAATTGCAGAATTTGCAAGTTGGTTGAGTGGGGATATGAAGCGAGTGGTCTGTCTCTGGAGCCTCTGCTCTGTGAAGCTGCTTCTCAAGGGTGCCTTGTAAAATCTGAACCATTACTTTACAGGCATGCCCTTTACAGTTTTTAATTCTTAATGGAGTTTTAAATAAATAAACTTTTATGGTGCTCAATTTCTGAATCAATTCTATGTTGCTTCCAAGGGGTATTTTAATTTACTCTGTGCCTGGCACATGGTCAGCATTCAAGAAGAGCTTAACATTCCTTCACTGAAGGAGCATTCATCAAGTACCCCTTATGGGCTCGGCACTGCAGTGACAATGGTGGACATGACAGCCTCAGTCCCCTAACTTTACTTAACCTACAACCTAGTTTACAGTTTAAAAAAAAGAAGCGATTTCTGTAGTGTGGTCCATAGGATTACAGAACAAGTATACTATATACTGCTTTTGAAAGCCTTTTTTAAATTTTTTTTTCTTTTTTTTTTTATTAAAAGATGACCAGTAAGGGGATCTTAACCCTTGACTTGGTGTTGTCAGCACCACGCCCTCCCAAGTGAGCTAACCGGCCATCCCTATACAGGTATCTGAACCCGTGGCCTTGGTGTTATCAGCACCACACTCTCCCGAGTGAGCCACGGGCTGGCCCTTGTAAGCCTTCTAAGCATTACTTGCATGTAGCCTCTCATCTACTTCGTATGTAATCTTTTTGGTCCCTTGGTATCTGGTATCCACACTCTTTTGGGGGTGTGGATGTGAGGTATGGCTTTGTCTTGCTGTGGAACTTTCCACCTCTCCCAAGTCCTTCACACCCTTGGGCCTCTGGGATGGGCAGTGTGGTAGGGTCCACTAGGGGCTACCATGATGGTTTCTAATGGCTGGCGCTCTTGGGGGCACCATCTAATGTGCATTATGGGTGTCTTTTGCTCCTCTTTTCTTATAGCTCAGGCTTTGGGCACCTTATCCCAATTGTCAGAGCCATGGACTTAATGAACTAAGGCACTTGAGCAAACATGGAGGAGTTTTCTTGTTGGCCAGCAGTTTTTTGGGCAAACATGTGAAGGGATAGGAGCCATATGAGGTGTAGGGTTGACTCTTCCTGCCATGTCTTTCTTCATCTGCTAGTGTCCTCTTTTCTCCCTTGAGGTTTGGACAGGTGAGTCAGAAAGGTAAGGCTGAAGAGCCTGAGCTGTATATCTCTCTTGATCTTGACTTTACCTGTATTGGGCTCTGTTGAGTGCTCTAGGGGTGTTTGGAATTTGAGAAAACATACAAAATTATAGAATACATAGAGCTGCAAAATCATGCCAGTAATGGGAAGTTCTGAAATGTCCACGGTTCCTGGATGATTTTCTGGTCTGGAACACCTAAACCCAGACTCTGACTGTAGTTGGTTTAATAGTGTTCTCCAAAAATTCATGTCTACTTGGAACCTCAGAATGTGACCTTATTTGGAAATAGGGTCTTTGCAGATACAATCAAGGTAAGGGTTGAGAAGAGATCCTACAGGATTAGGGTGGCTCTCAATCCAATGAGAGTGTCTTTATAAGACACAGAAAAGGACACACACACAAACATAGAGAACAAGACCACATAAAGATGGAAACAGAGAGTGGAGTGATGCTGCCACAAGCCAAGGAAGAGCTGAGGCCACCAGAAACCGGCAAGAGGCAAGGAAGATTCTCCTGCAGAGCTTCCAGAGGGATCATGGCCCTGCCAACACCTTGACTTCAGTCTTCTGACTCCAGAACTGTGAGAGAACTCATTTCTGTGGTTGTAAGCCACCTAGTTTGTAGTACTATGTTATGGCAGCCCCAAGGAAAAAAAACCACAGTGCCCCTATGGCAACAATTAGCCTCATTCCAAAGTAGAGAGGGCTGAGCCCCCTGGCCATGTGTGTGTCTGTAGGAGAATGAAACAGACAGGGAGCAGCCCAGAGGAAAGGAGATCTGTGATCTGAGGACAATGTCCTGAAAATAATAACGAGACTGGCTAACCCTTTGCAGCACTCACTGTGGCCAGGCATGACTCTGCATGCTAACATAAACATGCTCATTTAATCCTTGCAACGACCATATGAGCTTGGTGTGATTGTTATCCCTGTTTTACAGGAGATGAAACTGAGGTATAGAGAAATTAATCACTGGCTCAAAGTCACACAGCTTGTAAGAGGGGAGTCAGGATTCAAATCCAGGCAGTCTGGCTCCAAAGTCCTTGCTCCTAATCACTTCTTCAAACAAAAATAACTTGTCAGTCCATATGGGAGGAAGTCTGGAAAATCAAAGGTCCCCAGATTTAGGGGATGACATCAGGAAGATATTACTCTATGGAAGTGGAATTGCTGGAAATGGAGCGATTGCAGAAGTGACCCTCCAGAGCAGACCTGTGCACGTGCTGCCGAGAAGCTCAGTTCTGTCCAAGGGCCTCTGCAT